CTTTATGTTCGCGGATGCGGTCCGAGACATGTCGTTTGGTTTCTCCAATATAGCTACTACCACAGAGGCACTTTAGTTTGTAAACGCCCGGGTACTGTATGTCTGGAACAGCATCATTTACAGATGGAACCAGATCACGTATTTTATGTACTGTGTTGAATCGGACCTGGATCTTGTGTTTATTCAGGATTTTGGAGATCTTTTTAGTGACCCCTGCAATGTAGGGTAAGGTGATGGTTTTGAGTGGCTCCACAAGAGGATCCTTATTCTTAGTTTTTTCGGTAAAGTCACGTTGAAGAGAAACAACAAAATAACAAAATATATATAAAACAATAAAAAATTCTCACGACGTTTCGACCATAACTCAAACGGTCATCATCAGGTGTGTTGGTTTGCATAAATTTATTTTTAAACGGCACATTTATTTATTTATAAAAAACGTTGGCGTCACGCGCAGCGATTGGCAGTTTGCCCAGGACTAGTCCATCTATTTTTTTGAAAAGAGGAGGGGGGAGACTGAAATTTTTTATAATGTATGCTGTCTGAAAGCCACTGTAAGCGTGAACAATCAATCAAGAACTGAAATGATTTATCAAATCTTTCCAATGATTGCTAAGATAGAATCCATCTTCTCGGTTGAAATTGTCTCTGTGCTTGTATATGTGGATAGCCTCATGAACGAATCTCTCATGGAAGCCAGATGGCTTACAAAGAACCTCCGTCTTGGAAAAGTCAATGGCATGTGAGCCTACTGAATTAGAACAATGATCTGCTACGGCCGAGGTGTTGGTCCTACCGTGTTTAAGGTCTGCTTTATGTTCACGAATGCGGTCCGAGACATGGCGTTTGGTTTCTCCAATGTAACTACTACCACAGAGGCAACTTAGTTTGTAGACACCAGGGTATTGTATGTCCGGAATCACATCTTTTTTTTTTACAGACGGAACCAGATCACGGATTTTTATGTAATGTGTTGAAACGGACCTGGATCTTGTGTTTATTCAAGATTTTGGAGATCTTTTTTGTGATCCCAGCAATGTAGGGTAAAGTGATGGTTTTGAAAGGCTCCTCAAGAGGGTTCTTCTTCATGGTTTGAGTGATAGCTTTGCGGATTGTATAGTCGGAGTAACTATTAGCCCTAAGAGCTTGGTGTACGTGCTTGAGTTCACTGCTTATGTGTTCCTGGTCGGATATGCATTGGGCTCTATGATACAGAGTCTTGATGAGAGAATTCTTCTGTGATGGATGGTGGTGGGAATCCGGTTTCAAGTAAGCATCTGTATGGGTAGCTTTCCTGTAGACAGAGTGGCTCATTGAACCATCATGTCTCCTTTTAATTAAGACATCCAAAAAGGGTAGTTTTGCCATCTTTTTCGACCTCCATGGTAAATATGATGGCTGGGTGTATGGAATTGATGTGGTCGCAGAATTGGTCTAGAGCAGGCTGGCCATGTGGCCAGATGACAAAAGTGTCATCCACGTACCTCTTCCATAAGGTCGGGCGTAGAGTGGCAGTCTGGATGGCGTCAGTTTCAAAATTTTCCATGAATACGTTGGCTACAACTGGAGATAGGGGGGAGCCCATTGGGGTGCCTTCAGTTTGTTTGTAGAAAGTTCCATTCCAGGTGAAGTATGTGTTGGTTAAGCAATGTCTCACCAGGGGGGGTACATCAGTATGCAGTCCTTGATGAACCAGGTCTTCAATGATAGCGATGGTGTCAGGTACCGGGACTTTGGTGAACAAGGACACCACATCAAATCTGACAAGCAGGTCGTCTGGGGACAGGGAAATGCCTTTGATTGTCGATACCAGGTGAGTAGAATTTAGTACCGCAAAGGTGTTTTTTTTCCAGTGAAAGGTCGCAGTATATCAGCAAGAAAACGTGCAGTTTATAGGTGGGGGAGTTGATAGTAGAGACGATGGGACGAAGGGGTGTATCTTCTTTGTGTATCTTTGGAAGGCCATATAATCTTGGTGGTCTGGCAGCAGAGGGTTTCAACGAGAACTGTTTGGTCTGATCAATTAATGCTGTTGAATCAGAGATGATTTTGTTCGTTTTGGTAACCAGGCTGTTGGTGGGATCTCTTTTTATTTTTGTATAGCTGCCATCGTTGAGTAGTTCTTGAATTTTGTTATATTCTGTTTTGTCCATGATGACAGTGGCATTGCCCTTGTCGGCTGAGAGGACGACAATATCATCTCTCTTTTTTAATTGAGATAATTCAAAGCGTTCATCTTTGCTGATGTTGCTAGGTGGCAACTTAGCGTTTTTGAGGGTTGCAGCGATTTCAGATCTTGCTACGTCTGCAGACGTGATATCATTGGGCAATGATATAATTAACCGTATGTGTCTCGGTGTGACATCAAAGTTTAGACCTTTAGCTAAAACGGATTTCAGACCATCAGCAATGGAACTGTTACTGCGATTAATTACGACTTTGTTGACGTCTATCTTATCGGTGTGTGGATCCGATTTTTTGTTGGAGAGGTGATTGAATTTGGAAATCAAATTGTCCCTACATTTGGTCGACATAGTGGCAGCCGAAGAGGTAGTCATATTGTCTACATGTTCCCAATCCGATGTAGACATTGTTGCTGTCAATGTTAAGTGTGATTTGTAGAGTGTCTTGTCTAACTGATCGAGTTCGGTGCGTGTAAGTCTGATTTTTTCTGAGATGAGAGCGAAGCTAGTTCTAGCTAGGATTCGTTTTGCATTGAGATAAGTTGCAGCACCAGAGGTTAGTGTGAATGCGGTTGGTATTACCTTAGAGTCGCGGCATCTCTTCAGATTCATTGTTATAGCCCTCCCTTTCTGCTCCATGAACAACTGTAGCTCAATGTCTCCGTCTCTGTCCGTCGCTCGATGTCTCCGTCTCTGTCCGTCGCTCGATGTCTACGTCGCTCGATGTCTCCGTCGTTCTCCGTCGCTCGATGTCTCCGTCGTTCTCCGTCGCTCGATGTCTCCGTCTCGTCTCCGTCACTCGATGTCTCCGTCTCTCGATGTCTCCGTCGCTCGATTTTTCCGTCGCTCGATGTCTCCGTCTCTCCCTGTCGCTCGATGTCTCGGTCTCTCGATGTCTCCGTCGCTCGATGTCTCCATCTCGTCTCCGTCGCTCGATATCTCGTCTCCGTCGCTCGATGTCTCCGTCTCTGTCCGTCGCTCGATGTCTCTGTCTCTCGATGTCTCCGTCGCTCAATGTCTCCGTCTCTGTCCGTTGCTCGATGTCTCCATCTCTGTCCGTCGCTCAATGTCTCTGTCTCTCTCCGTCGCTCGATGTCTCCGTCTCTCTCTGTCGCTCGATGTCTGTCTCTCGATGTCTCTGTCTCTCGATGTCTCCGTCTCTCTCCGATGCTCGATGTCTCTGTCTCTCTCCGTCGCTCAATGTCTCCGTCTCTCGATGTCTCCGTCGCTCGATGTCTCCGTCTCGTCTCCGTCGCTCGATGTCTCCGTCACATTGCTGGATTCAAACTCGGGTCTCCAAATTAATATTTCAGTGTGTAAACTACTGCTCCCATATTTAATTAACTACTGGTTAATTGGCCCATTAACTGTTGAATTAAATGTAATTTATATCGACTCACCTATCCATATCAGTGATGATGATAATATGCATTTAGCGCGCAGCGCGACAAACCCGGTGACCTGAGTTTGATTCCTGCTCAAGGTCAACACCAGTCACGATTATCTGAAACAGTCCTGGGCCTCCTCTAGATCGACTCAGCCTCAAATGAGTACCTAGTGCGGTGTGTAAACAACGTCATTCGGGAGACAAAGGCAGTTGGGCATGATGCTGGCCATCTACCCCATCGCGTACCATGCCAGCCTTAATAGGTGCTTGCTAACACCACCTGCCCCAACACTCTGTTAAGGCTATAGGGGGGATGTTTGTCATCGTGTCAGTGATGGGGCAATAGTACAGAAAGTAGACAAGTTTCCGTACCTGGGCAGTGTGCTTCTAACCAACTCCAGTTTGGCTGCAGTTGCCTCACTCTGAATCCGCTGAGCAGCACTGCATTTTTTTTTCACCGTGTGAACGAAAATTAAGTTGAATATTTTGAGGTTCTTTAAAAATTATTACTAAACACTGCTTATAAACATAAACGCATAAATGCTGAGAATATAATGTCAGATGCATATCGTCTGTACTTTATACAGTGGCTTGTGCTAAGAAACTGCCAGTCAGACGCAAACTTGTCATGCTGGGGTGTTATTGCCAGAAACGCCTTTGTTTCCCCAGCGCTGATTTTTACCAACCACACCTGGTATTCATTTAAGGTTGAGTCGACTTAGGGGAGGAGTAGGGCCGGTTCAAATATAATTTACCACTATTGGCCACGACCCGGGAATTATGTGAAATAGTATCGGAGCCAGATGACATCCCCGTTGCACCCCACGGTAAACAGGAGGAAATGGCTCTGACACTCGGGTCCGTAGGTTTACACGGGCCTTCCCACCATAATGGTCCTTAATGATTGTGAACAGAGTCAGGGACCCCAAAAGCACAAAGAATAACCCAAGACCGTGGCCTCTTATTGAAGACCTCCAGGTCAAGAGAGCTTCCTGGTGTGTGCACGTGTTCCACTGTTGCGGTGCCCTGCAGTGGCATTTTGGTGACACTTTTTTTTTTCAATTTGTGGAGGAAATTTCTCCTGCCATGGCCAGGTTGGATCTGATGTATGGAGTCCCACTGCTTGCGGTGGTGGGGGGCCAGTGAGCTTCCTGATGGTTTGATCCACAATGAGGCGCTTCTTTGGGATGTTTGCGTTCTTCCAATTGTTTATCCACTCAAGCATATCGGTTGTGTGGACATAAGCCGGATGGATTTAAGAAACGTTTCCATTGATTACCACGATAACAGATCAAACTAGCGACTTCTGGATTGTGTACCAACCATTGCGTCATGCCAGCGTCCTGTGATGTCATGGTTATAGGTGGGGGGAAATAACAACCAGGGTACAAGGTGTTAGTGTGTCGTGAGTTTGAGGACACAGTTTCAAATATAGTTATTTTTTTATTTTTTTCCTCTCCCCCCAAATGGGGTAAAAACAAAGAAATTACAATGTATAAGGGTTGTGGAGGAAAGGGTTGGTAGGAGAACGTGTGCCGAGATCGCCAGCAATCTGCGGCGGACGCCTGCTCACTGTACGAACGCCTCCCGTGGAATCCGTCCGGTAGTCGGACGAAAAGGAACGATGAAGGTAGGCGACCGTGGTTTTCGGAGATCCGAGCCGGACGGCGACAGTGATGAAGGAAGGGGGGAGAGAGAGGGGTGGAATAGAAGGGGAGATGGGCGGTATCGTTAGTGATGCTCGTCAAACGCGAATGCGCCCGACCGTTTGCTATCAGTCGTGTCCATAAACGGTGCGGATGGGACGGCACTCACGTTCAGTTCCATGAGGGTGTTCGCACACTGCTGGAACTGCCAGCTGTTCTCCTGCAGCCACCCGAGAGTGGGCGCGCACGCACACAGGAGAGACGTCAACATGACTACCCAGTTTGCCAACCAGATAACTAGGCCTGGCCTGGATCCCATGGCAGCCTGAATGGGCGACGCCACTGCAAGTGGGTCATGTAAACCCCTTACATTGTGCCGCTTTGCTCGCTTTCCTATGGGAGCTGCACGCTTTGATGTTGGCCGACTTCGGAAACAGTCATAATGTCACAAAGTCAGTGCACAAGAGGTGCAACTGTTAAGTTGCTGCTGATTAAGTTTAAGTTTTTGCCAATGTTTTGTAAAATAAAATGGTGGATATGTAAACAAATGATTGATTAGAGCTTGGTATATGCTTAAGCCATTTCAAGCATACGTTAAACCTCTAATAATAATAATAATAATTTTAAAATAAATATTGTCCCTTTCATCTGGCTGTGGACAAAATGGAGGATGGGAAGTGGTAGGAGTAATGCCAGGGTTGTGGCCAAAGAGCCGCATGGCCCTCGAAAAGTTGGGAGAATAAATATTGCTCATTGTTGCAGCGAAGCGTACCGCAATTCTGTGCACCACCGCAGGCGTGGAGGGCACCGCAGGCGTAGAACTTCGCAGCTGCGAAAGCATCTGCCCATCCTGATGGTGACAATGGTGAAGGTAGTGGTTGTAAAAAGTGGTATAGATCATGGCGATAATGATTGTGATTGATTATAGTGGTGAGCATGATTATGGTAACAGTAGTCGTGGTGATGAAGATAATGGTAAAGATGGTAATGATTGTTGTGGTAGTAGTAGTTATGGTGAAAGGGATCATGGTGATGATGGAATTACATTATGATGTTGGCGGTCAGGATGAAGATGATGGCAATAGTGGTGGTGTTTGTGGCAATGATGATGATAGTGATGATTGTGGTAATGATGGTAGATGTGTGACGAAGATAGTCAAAGATGGTGTTAGAGATAGATGATTGAAGCAATAAGTGATGATGTTGATAACCGCCAGCAGGACAAAAACAAAAAACAGATAATGACATTCAACAGCTGCTCATGTTCCTCTGTGTCATCTGTAAACTGCACGTAACCTTTTCTTAAGTGAACTCTTATACAAACAGTTAAGAAACTTAAGTGGGCTCGGGCAGGACACGTCTTTATAAGGGTTAATGGCTGATGATCAAGAATGCAGCAATGAGATGGAACCCATCTAACAGTTGTTCATGGGCAGGTGCTAGGTGGGTTATTACAATTTCGCAATCATGAGAAATTTCAATGGCTTAGGGGAGGTATTCATCCAGCAGTAGTTTGACCAAGGCAGGAAATGATGACCTTCTTCAGAAGTGTTTTACTTGGTGCATTTGGCAAAATCCTCTGATCACAAGCACTTTTGCATGTGTGGGGAAACTGGAATGCACGGAGACACAAATATCACAGAGAGTGGGGATAGCTTGAGGGCCGGCATCTGTGGAGGGTCACTCACCAGGATCACGAGCTGTGGAAAGTGGTTTCGCACGAAGCTGTTGACACACACACATGCAGTTAGAGATGGGACACAAGGCCAAGGGAGTGTGTGTGAGTGACCGGGTGGATGAACGCATGAGCGAGCGGGGTGTTGAGTGCATGGGTGAAGCTGGAGGGTGGGGGAGTAGGCGTGCGGGCGAGCCATTGGTTGAACAGGCAACCACAAAGATAAACCATGTAGATGAGTGGGTGGATAAGCATGAGGACGAGTGAGTGCCTGGGTGAGTGGGCAGCTACGTGGACGGACAGGCGAATGGGTAAGCGGGCAATGTCGCGTTCATGACAAAGGAGCGGTACCTGATGTAGGCATTTGGGTCGTGGAAGGAGTCGCACAGCGGATTCCCCTTCAGCCATAGCTCTTTCAAATTGAAGGCCTTCAGTGGGTAAAGTTCCCTCACATCTTTGAGCTGCATGGCAGGGGAGATATTTCCATACAATTAGGGGCATAAGGGCCATGCTTCTGGGCAACTTACCACAAGTTATACATTACAATCCATGCCCACGCATGGATTGTAACGCTTTGCAGAATGCATTTGCCTTAGCGTGCAAAAGCTGACGCGCAGCTGTCACGGCAAAATGTGTATGCATATTTGTAAACAGTCCCTTGTGCTATAGTTTGCATCTCTTTTGGTTAACCCTTTCATCAATGGCGTGCGGTATTCAGTTGGGCGTGTCCTTAATAGTAACACCACATTATACAAACATTTCGTTTATATTGGATCACATTTTATGAACGTTACATTGCCCTCCATTACGAATGGGCAGAGTCAATGCAGAAATTCCTTCAATATTCGTTGAAAAGGGTTAACAAAGGAGGCCAAATACTGCAATCGCATATTCTAAGTGAATGTATCAGCTCTCAACTTAATTGATTAATTAGCCCATTTCAGCATAATGGTCAAATTCAAGAGTCCATGCTATGTTTCGTCTTTTGTTTGTATTAATTGTATTTTGTTTGTGTGGTCTGTCCTGTCCAGTATGTACTGTGTCCCATTTGTACTGACCGTCTCATCGTATGTCTCACTGTACTCTCTTGTCTGCACTGTCTTGTTGCCTATCTTGTTCATGCAGCCCAATATGTTTTGTCCATATAATTAGTTGTCTGCCTTGTCTGTCTCTTATGTGTCATTAGCCTAATTTAACGTGCATATAATTTGCATGAATAATAAAGAACTGGTTCCGACACACCATTTGGTGCATGCGTTGTGAGTGCAATGACTGAAGTTAATTGACGTATTGATGCGGAGTTGCGGGCCTACTGTACAAAGTACATCAACAGGTACCACCCATAGGTGATACATGTTGATGTACTAAACTGCAATAGTACGTTTCACATTTGTGTATTCATTGCATTTAAATAATTAATTACGTTTCCACTAATTAAAGGCATATCTGATACCCAATACATGCTTAAAATAATATCAAGCGAATCGGAAATGAACAAGTACCAAAACAAAAGGAGACGATATAAGATATAATAGTAGGTATATCGATACTTGGATTGAATCGCGTAACGAACGGTCGACTCGCTGTGGCGAGGAATCTGAACCAACGCGACGCTCGCACCAGAGGTGCACCAGGCATGCGAGCGTCGCGTCGCGATTTATTGAACGGCGCTCACACCCACATTGTTTTTGGAGAGGTTCAGCTTCTTGAGAGATGGAGTGTGCTGGGCAAGTTTTGCCAGGTCATCCAACCGGTGCAGGTCATTGCACGTTAGATTCAGGGATGTGATCTGTGGGAGTGGAAAGCAAGGGAGGCACAGAAAAGACAAAGGTCCCTCTTATAGCCTTAACAGTCTTTTGCAGAAAGTGCTGTGAGCGAGCACCTATGAAAGCCGGCACGGTACACAAGAGTGGTCAGCACCACGCCGACCGCCTCTGTCTCCCTAGTGGTGATGTTTACACACTGCACTAGGTACTCATTTGAGGCTAAGTCGACCTAGAGGAGGCCCAGGACCGGTTCAGATAATCGTCACTGGTGTTGGCCGTGAGCGGAAATCGAACTCTGGTCGCTCGATTCATAGCGCAGCGTGCGAACAACTGCACTACCGCTCCCCTCTAAGGGAGGCAAAAGACAAAGATCCCCAGTATAGCCTTAACAGACTAGGAGCAAGTGCTGTTAGCGAGAACCTATGAAGGCCAGGATGGCACACGAGGGGGTGGGTGGCCAGCACCACGCCGACCGCCTTTGTCTCCCCAGTGGCGATGTTTACTCACCGCACTAGGTACTCATTTGAGGCTGAGTCGACCTAGTGGAAGCCCAGGACCGGTTCAGAATAATTGTCACTGATTTTGGCCGTGAGCGGGAATAGACAGCTTGGGCCGCTAGGTTCGTAGCGCAGTGCAGTGCCACCACCTACGGTTTAGCAGCAATAGCAGCAATGTAAATGTCGTGCCGTGCCTCGTTTTGGTTTTATCTCAAGTCGATGGTCAGCGATGACCGCTTGGTAAAATGGGGGCTACGCAACCATGAAGCACGCACCAACGTCCACGTGTGGCGACGCGCCTCTAATCCAGCACTAATTAATCTAGTCGCTAATACCAATGCCACATTATACTGCAGTTTGGTACGTATTTTGTACTGGTAGGAACCTCCTGGTTCCACCCAGCCCACAAGGGATTATTGTGTCCGTCTGTCGTCCATCCAAAAATGGGAGGGGTGGGGCTGGGTGGAGAGGGGAGGGTGGGGAGGGGCTGGGTGGGGAGGGAGGGGCGGGGTGGGGAAGGCGGCCACGGCACACACGAGGGGGTGGGTGGCCACCAACCACGTCCGGCCATCTTCACGACATTTTTCCCTCCACGTGGAGAATCAACAACATGCGTTTGGAGTATGCGGATGCTCACAATCTCTAAATTATAAGCCGCCAATTCGTTGAGCCATCATTCGAGGCAAGCAACGTTCCTACCAGCTCCCTCTGCAGGAATGTGTTTTAAGAGTAATAATGCCCTACAGACGAAAGGACCAAGAGAGCTAACGCAGCAACACTATACCTTAGGTGCAAAGCATTAAAACACGTGGGGAGAGGAGAAGGCCGTACCATTGGAATATTCTCTCGGATGATCTTGTTCAGACCATCCATGTGGTCCTTCCGGTTCAAAACCAGGTCGACACCACGTGCCTCCAGCTCTGGGGAGTGGGGGAGGGTGATCGTGCATTCATTACGCGTTGCGTTCAACTCAACTCCTACCCTCGCGATGCATACAGTGAGTGATGCGTATAAGGATGAATTAATTAAATATTAGTTAAAATGACATGACAATGATATCTTTAGGCTAACAGGATGAATAAACTAGAACAAATGAGACTAAAGAAACAGTATGAACGATTCTCGGCTCAAATAATAAAGCTGAGTTGTGACAAGTTGTCAATGTGCAGGAGTGCAAAGTAAACTTAAAAAAACACAAATGTTTGTTTCAATTACCTTCATTAATTCTGACCGCCTTCAAGTCCAGAGCTTTGTTGGTAGGGTCATATTTTTGGCTCAAACATTTCTGTAAAAAGAACACGCACATGTCGCATCCCCCATTAGCATAAACTGGCTGCTATGACAGGGTCTGTTGGGGTGCACCAATTTTAAGCACAATGTGAGGACACAGCATCACCATGTCATCTACACGCATTGCGTGTCACTCAGTGACACGGCTTTTGCAGTAGAAAAACAACCTGTCGCTGCCTGAGCCGCGCTGAGTTGACTTGGCACAGCAGTGGGCATAGTAACACACAGACCTGGCTGTCTTTGTCACTGCTAACATTGTCTACGTAATGGCCCTGTACGTTTATTTTAGGTCAAATTGACCAAGCTCAGATACCCACTCTAACAGCAGGGTGATTACTGGAGCCGGGACCACAGTGCAGTGGGTTTGCTCAACCAACCACAGAAAATACTCCCTGTTTAGGCTTACAGAGTATTGGGGGCAGCGAGTGCTCTTCGTGAACACTAATTAAGGCCGGAAAGGTACACCAGACGGTGATGTGGTGAGCACCACACCAAGCTGTGTTTGTCTCCCCATTGGTGATGTTAACAAACTGAACCAGGTATAAATATATGGTTGCGTCCATATAGGAAAAGTGTCATAGCATCACAAGTTTAAGAGGGCATGGCTCTAAAGAAAGCTGTCTATGGTGTGGACCAATCAGTTTAAAAGACAATGCATATACTACCAGAGCATGTTTTTTGTTTGCATGTTCACCACGAGCATATATGGTTAATGCAGACATGATTCCTTGCAAAAGGTTTCAAAATGGTGTTATAACATCTTAACACTATTTTTATTGCCAGAAAGGCTAACATCTATTCTTATATATCAATGTTGCATGTCGATTTAAACTAGATACTTTACAACGTCAAAGTTTAGTTTGTTTAACCAGTTGAGAATTCAAGAGACCAGGATGTGTTCACTTTTTGTCAAGGAGCATAAACCATCACATGAGCTCCAGTCATCCTCGTAGTGGCTTTTGGCCACTCATCGAAAAAAGATAGTCACTGCATCGAGCGCATTCAAATGCACTTCTGCGGCCTTCTGGAACGCTCTTCCAATATCAGGAAGCTACTGGAGCTATGCACTCTTAAATATAAATTGACAACTCATTTCCCTATAACTACTTGTTGTGTTTAGTTGTCCTCCCGCACCTCCGGTCAGCATGGTTGGCTATGTATGGTGTGAAATAAGTTTAAATGCATACATTTCCGAGAGTGACCTGGGTCACCAAAATGACAAGTCTCTATATTCTATAATTATTTTGGTGCAACTGTTAACCTTTTATAATTGGCATTTCTTTCTCAAAACCTGATACCTAGGATACTCCATCTCCACGTTTGCACACCCCCCAGTACATTTACCGAGATCTCGAACCAGCACAATTGGCTTGGCACCGCAGAATCGGCTTTGAAGATGCGCCGCTTGGCCATCAGCAGCTGCTGCCGCTGCGCCTTGCAGATGGACATCGTATAGGGTCCGCTGGTGGTGGCAACGCAGGTGCACCACAAACAAAACACAACAGCACAGAACATCAGCGATGAGGGCAAGAATTAGGCACATGAGAAAAACCTGCGCTTTGCCCAGACAGAGGCAGTGTCCAGGCTCTACTCGAGGTTTGCATTATATTCTAGGTCGCTAGTCGACTATAATAGGAACGTGACTAATAGCCACAGGCAGAGCAAGATGTATACTGGATGTGGTGCGCCGGGTTGAGGTTATTAGTCAAAATGTTACTGACCCAGACAGACCCAGCTGAAATTATGCCCCGACTCTAAAAATAACGCAATAGCTAAACACTGATGGATGTATATAGCGTCTAACTCGAACACATCTCTAGATGCTGTATGAAAACCAGGGCGTGCGCACCATGGAGAATCAGATGTGGGCTCCGAGGATTGAGGTGAGAGCCTCATTCACCGCTATGGGAAAAGAGTATTGTGGTGGCCTTCTGGATCATATAGAGTAAATAACCCTCTTGTAGCCTACCTAGGTTGTAAGAGCAAGTGATGTCAGTGAGCGCCTATTAAGGCCTAAATGGCATGTAAAGGGGTGGGTGGTTTGGTCAGCCGCACCCGGCTGCCTTCACTGCCCCATTGCTGCTAAAGTTTTCACAATGCAGCAGGTACGAATCGACTTTGGGCAGGCCCGGGGACCGGTTCATATATCAATCTCCACTGATGTAGCCATGGCTGGAAATCAAACTAAGGTCCCCAGGTACATAGTGCAGTGGCCTAATCACCGCGTCCCCTCTGCACACACATGCACGGTGTGCGCTCAGTTAAACTTACCGGCGCTGGCAGGAACCCGACCTATCCCCCTTGTCCACATTTCCACGTCCACTCATACGATGGGAGCGGGGGATTCGGCCATCTCTAGCATCTCGTCCTCCGCTACTACAAGAGCCTCCGCCATCACCTCGTGTCCATCCTGCACCATTCCTTGTTTTCCAGGTGCCCATATGGTGTGCATATTCGCCTCTCTTTCCACCACGTGCGGGGAACCCAGACAACTCCTCAAACATGTGGGGTCTGGGGCCTCTATGAGGACTCCTGGCTGTAGCCTGGGTCTCCATGCACACTTCATGCTCTGTGGACAAAAAACTGCAGCCGTAGCTGGCAGCACGACACTCCCAGTGTATGATGTGTGAGTGAGTCAGCAGCAGCGTTAGTGAGTGTATGATGTGCGAGTCAGTGTATGATGTGCGAGTCGGTGTATGATGTGTGAGCGAGTCAGCGGCAGTGTGAGTGTATGATGTGTGAGTGAGCCAGCACACGATGAGTGAACCTGTGTATGATGAGTGAATGGGTCAGTGGATGTGCCAGTGTATGATGTGTGAGTGAGTAAGCGCATGATGAGTGAGTCAGTGTATGATGTGTGAGTAAGTGTATGATGTGCGAGTGAGTCAGTGTATGATGTGTGAGTGAGTCGGTGTAAGATGTGCGAGTGAGTCAGTGCATGATGTGTGAGTGAGTCAGTGCATGATGTGTGAGTGAGTCAGTGTATGATGTGTGAGTGAGTAAGTGTATGATGTGTGAGTGAGTCAGTGTATGATGTGTGAGTGAGTCAGTGTATGATGTGTGAGTGAGTTAGTGCATGGTGTGATTGAGTCAGTGTATGATGTGTGAGTGAGTCAGTGTATGATGTGTGAGTGAGTCAGTGTATAATGTGTGAGTGAGCCAGTGTATGATGTGTGAGTGAGTCAGTGTATGATGTGTGAGTGAGTCAGTGTATGATGTGTGAGTGAGTCAGTGTATGATGTGTGAGTGAGTCAGTGCATGATGTGTGAGTGAGTCAGTGTATGATGTGTGAGTGAGTCAGTGTATGATGTGTGAGTGAGTCAGTGTATGATGTGTGAGTGAGTCAGTGTATGATGTGTGAGTGAGTCAGTGTATGATGTGTGAGTGAGTCAGTGCATGGTGTGAGTGAGTCAGTGTATGATGTGTGAGTGAGCCAGTGTATGATGTGTGAGTGAGTCAGTGTATGATGTGTGAGTGAGTCAGTGTATGATGTGTGAGTGAGTCAGTGTATGATGTGTGAGTGAGTCAGTGCATGATGTGTGAGTGAGTCAGTGTATGATGTGTGAGTGAGTCTGTGTATGATGTGTGAGTGAGTCAGTGTATGATGTGTGAGTGAGTCAGTGTATGATGTGTGAGTGAGTCAGTGTATGATGTGTGAGTGAGTCAGTGCATGGTGTAAGTCAGTGTATGATGTGTGAGTGAGTCAGTGTATGATGTGTGAGTGAGTCAGTGTATGATGTGTGAGTGAGTCAGTGTATGATGTGTGAGTGAGTCAGTGTATGATGTGTGAGTGAGTCAGTGTATGATGTGTGAGTGAGTCAGTGCATGGTGTGAGTGAGTCAGTGTATGATGTGTGAGTGAGTCAGTGCATGGTGTGAGTGAGTCAGTGTATGATGTGTGAGTGAGCCTGTGTATGATGTGTGAGTGAGTCAGTGTATGATGTGTAAGTGAGTCAGTGTATGATGTGTGAGTGAGTCAGTGTATGATGTGATTTAGTCAGTGTATGATGTGTGAGTGAGTCAGTGTATGATGTGTGAGTGAGTCAGTGTATGATGTGTGAGTGAGTCAGTGCATGATGCGGTGGTGGGGGGACTAAAATCTGAGTCAGTGGAGAATATTAATTTGTGAACTTACATTATAATACATGTGCGACAGTGCTGTATGTTGTACATTAATGCTGATGTGTGTTTTGTATGTTATAGGTTTGTGTTGTGTGTTATTGCTGCTGTGTTGTGCGATAGTGACGCGCACCTTGGAAAGTCATGTTCGCCATGGCCACGCAGAGCGAGAGGATGTCGGCTTCGTTCGCCATAGCTGTTGTCGCCGTCGTGGACTCCACGGCACTGCTGGGCTGTGATTCGCGTTGCTTGGCCGTCTTCGTGTTCCGCGCCACTGTCACAGCCAACTTCTCCGCCTCCCTCCGCCGTCTGATGCGTGCTTCCGCCCTGCCGTCTCTGAGACCCCGCCCCTTCCGGGTTACCGAGATCTCGCGAGAGCCGCGCCCGTCACGAGATCTCGCGAGAACCGCGCCCTTCACGAGAACCACAACAAAAACAACAATGGTGAACGCGTTACAATCCACGACAACATCGTTACGTAGCATGTCATATAAACGCCGTGCGATGGCGTTCTGTAAGTGTATCAAATGTGATCTGGTTCGTTTGCGCGGCTGTTGATTTTGATGGCCATTGACCAGAGCGGCTGTTGATGTCGGCGCCTCGAGGCGCACAGCCATTTGACTTATAAATTAAAAATAATCAGAACACACGATTGGACTTAGACTCGCGTGACGTGTTTTAATAAAGTAAAGTTAGTTGAAGTATTTAAGTAATTGGGATATTTTATAGGGGAGGGTGAGGGGTGTGTGGTTGTGTGTTGATGTGTTTGTGTGTTGATGTGTCTGTGTGTTGATGTGCCTTGTGTGTTGATGTGTGTGTTGATGTGTCTGTGTTGATGTGTCTGTGTGTTGATGTGTCTGTGTGTTGATGTGTTTGTGTGTTGATGTGTTTGTGTGTTGATGTGTTTGTGTGTGTGTTGATGTGTCTGTGTGTTGATGTGTTTGTGTGTTGATGTGTCTGTGTGTTGATGTGTTTGTGTTGATGTGTCTGTGTGTTGATGTGTCTGTGTTTGTGTGTTGATGTGTCTGTGTGTTGATGTGTTTGTGTGTTGATGTGTCTGTGTGTTGGTGTGTTTGTGTTGATGTGTTTGTGTTGATGTGTCTGTGTGTTGATGTGTCTGTGTTGATGTGTCTGTGTTGATGTGTCTGTGTGTTGATGTGTCTGTGTGTTGATGTGTTTGTGTGTTGATGTGTCTGTGTGTTGATGTGTCTGTGTGTTGATGTCTGTGTGTTGATGTCTGTGTGTTGATGTGTCTGCGCTATAAACCCGGCGAGCCGAGTTCGATTCCCACTCGGGGCCAACACCGGTCCGCTTCTACGCCCTCCTCTAAGTCGACTCAGCCTCAAATGAGTGCCGAGTGCCGTGCGTAAACATCGCCACAAGGGAGACAAAGGCGGCCGGGCGTGCTTCTGGCCACCCACCCCCTCGTGTATAACGCTCCAGACACGTGTACAGTACAAACATCTCTCTCGAGTACAGACTACCATCGCTACTCATCATTTATAGACACAACAAAGACAAATATCTCCCGTGTAGCCTTAACAGACTGTAGGGGCAAGTGCTGTTAGCGAGCACCTATGAAGGCCGGAACGGTACACGAGGGGGTGGGTGGCCAGCACCACGCCCGACCGTCTTTGTCTCCCCAGTGGCGATGTTTACACACCGCACCAGGTACTCATTTGAGGCTGAGTGGACCTAGGGGAGGCCCAGGACCGGTTCAGATAAAATCGTCACCGGTGTTGGCCGTGAGCGGGAATCGAACCCGGGTCGCCAGGTTCACAGCAACGCAACGCGCTAACCGCTACACGAACACGCACACGAGAGCATTACGTGTACTAAGTTTGGTCCTATAATAACAATGACATAATAATGTCAATTATTTACTGAGCAAATCTTCACCGAGTCTCAAGATTGGTGTTTATGAGGCTCATGTGTTGTGTGCCGCGTGGCCAATGCCTGCAGCTTTAATCTTCACGACTGTTTGAAGAATTATTCCGTGAGCGATCATTGATTTACTGGACGATCGTCACCCACACATACTTTGTACGCACGAGTTATTTATCTGCATGATACGTTATTGCAGAATTGTATTTTGAAGCTTTTGTTGTTGTTGAGTACGGTGCTGTACAGTGGGGATGGAGCGGTGGCACAGTGGTTGGCACACGGCGCTTCAAATCCAAGCCGAGTTCGGTTCCCGACCACGGCGAACATCAGAGGCGACTGATATCTGAACCGGTCCTGGTCAAGCCCCGCTACCTCCCGCTCTCCCAGCGTTACCGGCACGCACTGGTGAAGTATGGTCAGACAACACCCGCCTATGCCCGATACGGCCTTCTTTGAACCATATATTTTACAAAAAATATGTTAAGGCTAAAGCGGGGGTCTTTTGTCTTTGTGTGTGTCTATAAGACGAGCGTGTGATACATACACACAGGGTAACCTAATTTGTTTTATTTTAGTCATAAACGCACGAGGAGAATAATTTCTTGAAGAGATGATGGCATTTGGACAAGGCGGATGATGGAACAGCAGCCAAAGAACGTGCCTGAGAATGCAACCTTTTTTATTTTACCAGGTTAGGCCCACTGAGCTGTACAGCTCGTTTTCGTAAGCGACCTGGCTACAAATGTTAGCTCAACGAAGTGGCTTATCACGTGGACATTTATAGCAGCCAAATATTCTAAATGCATGTTTCTAAATGTGGAGGGGAAAACCAGAGGAAGCAAGTTATGTTATGAGTTACTGCACTGAACATTTACAACAATGACTAGTAATCGGTGTTATGTTCTTTCTCTGAATTTTTTTCATAAATAATATGGCGTCATTACATTTGGAAATCAATAATTAAGTGTTTCACTTCATTCGGAGGAAAAAAAATGCTTAAAATTACAACCTCAGGCAGCTCTAACAAAGTATTTTACTTTCAATTCTTATTTGGTTTTTATAACCTACCAGTTTCTTGTATATCATCATACAGTAAACGTGATATTCACTTTTTTTTCAAAATATGTGAATAGTTCATACTATTCCTTGGTTCTTTCGGTAAAGTCACGTAGATAGAAAAATAATAAAGTGAATAAAATTTTTTAAAATAAATAATAATTAAAACACTAATGTAGATTGTAGCCTGGTTCTTCATCGGAGTGAGTGTACTGGCAATCTATAATGTAGACTGGAGCCTGGTTATTAAGCTGGGTGAGTGTACTGGCAGTCTATAATGTAGACTGGAGCCTGGTTCTTTAAGTGATACAATTAAAAACAGGCACACTGCGTGACGCTTCCGCATGCGCGGGTGACATCACAGATGTGAAGTCACAGCTCACTTGCCGTGCAAAATATATCCATTATTGCGCCCCCCCCACCCCCCCAAAAAAAACAAAAGTCTATTTTTCTAATTTTTGCATTGTGTACAGTCTGGAAAGTACCCACATGGCACATTTCAAGTTGCATGTCAGGAAGTATGCTAAACATTTTGAACAGACACATTTACAAATTTCCTTTTTATATATAGATAAACCCCAATGATCCGATCGAAATCCCTAATTTTACATGAAGTGCCACCCAACCCCCCCCCCCCAAATGCTCCGCCATGACCAGAGTGCAATGATAAAGGGCTGTAATTTTTTGTCAGTATGTGTATTTTTTCACGAGCTTTAACACCATTTTGTACATGCAGTAGAAAGTACAGTACAGCTTTTCCATGTTCAGATACTGTGTACAGATTTCACAAAATTTATGAAAATTCTGAAGCAGTGGCTTTAACATTTTCCTCACAAATTTGCTCGTGAAGTTCAATTCAGCTCTCTATGAGAAGCCATCCAACACAGTCCAGCGACTGCAAGAACTGCTGCCTCCGCATTCCAGTGATCCAAGGTACTCCCCTTTTTACGTGCCACCTTCAGCTGCAAAAGCTGAGTCTGCATATCTGCCCAAAAGGAACCGTGGGCATTGCAGCACCCCTGATGGAAACAATTGCGTGCCTTTGAGACAATCGTGACTGAACCAGGGGTGGAGATGATCGTGCGTGGCGCTGGAGACGTCCAGCTTCAGCTGCTGTACCAGCTGCTCCATCTTCCTGATCTCCACCCGCAGCAGCTTATAGTCCAGCTCTGTGTAGCAGTCATGGCCCTGCTCCATTCGCTCCACGCGCACCGTTAGGTTCTGCAGCAGCGCCGTGTAGCGCACCAGCGTGGCGTGGTTCTCTGCCACCTGCAGGCGTAATTTCAATTACTGTCTACTTCTAACGCATGAACAACCCTTAATACAACATGTAATGGACTGTATTGCTATCAGTGCTGTACTGTAGTTTTACATGAAGTAGTATGATCTATACCAGATATGTTGGAAGGCTGTATCCTCAAACCATCCTTCAGGTCAGGAGCGCAGCCTGATTTAACAGGAGCACTAACATTATATAATTCTTAGTATTGGTTGAAATGCAATACTGTAGCACTGCCACCTGTAGGGGTAGTTTAAATATTATCTCCTTCCAATTCATTTCAATCGATCTTTTACACGTGTTGACTTAATATACAACCATTTTTATGAAATATACGGGACTGTGTTGTTGGCAGTCCTGTAGTCATAGATATAAACTTATCATGATTATAACAGCACGGTTGGCCAAGGTACGGTGCGAAAGAAGTTCAACATGCATACATACTTACATTAGAAGGTTACTTCCTCAAGGAATCTTTGAGGACAGTCAGGTTAATGCATTCGCCTGGTATACAGGAGGTCGTGGGTTCGATTTTGACCCCAACGCCTGCTGTATATTTGGAGACTGCATGTTCTTCCCGTGATCATGTGGATTTTTCTCCGGGTCCTCCGACTTTTCCCTCTACATTTAGAAATATGCGTTTAGAGTATTTGGTTGCGATACATTTCCACATGATAACCCACTTTGTTGGGCTAACATTTGTGGCCAGGTCGCTTCTAAAAAAGAGATCTATAGCTCAGTGGGGCTCACCTGGTAAAATAAAAAAAGTTTTTTTTCATATTTTACAGAGAGTTAGGGGGAAGGGGTGTGTGGCACTCGTAGTCTGTTACCAGCAATGGGTCTCTATCGTAGCGCACTCCCGGTGTCTGCCCAGTGGTTGGTGGTGAATCTGTCAGGTTGCATTGCATTCTTAGTGAAAGGGGTGCAGCAGCCATTGTTAGAGTTTAAATCACTGATAGTGCTACTGAGACTACATACAACTGTCCTGGAAGTGTGTCAGAATCGGTGATCGATGGCACAGATTTGACCCCCAAGGGGTTGGCGTCGTCGCGTCTCGCAGGAGCCGTACCCACGTGACGATGGAGACGGGGCTCAAGTGCTGCTTCCTGAGCCTCAAGGTGCAGGACACCAACCTGGACCTGCAGAAGGAACATGATCGGAGTGAGCGCCAGCTGATCAGACGACGTGCTGGTACGCGCACCGCACCTTGCCGTTCGTTCTCCGGGTCCTCCAGTTTATTTCCCTCCCACATTTACAATCAACGTGCGTTTAAAGTATTTGGCAGCTATAAATGTCCACTTTGTAAGCCACTTTTGTTGAGTTGTGGCTTGTGGCCAGGTGAAATAAAAATAGCTTAGTTAAAAAAAAGTTATTTCGTTTTTAGAAGGATCAAATGTTTGCGTAACTGAACCCGGGTGATTGTCACTGGAAGTCTCTCAACTTGTCGGTTTGTAGCCGCCCAATGAGATGTGAATCACGCTTTGAACCCGCTAAAATGTGCGTAGAGCTCACATGCTCGCAAAACCTCCGAGAAAGAAACGTCTCGTTAGAAGAGTAACGTCACACAATGTTTAGAAAGAAAGTGTTACGCAGTCTAACACGTAGAAGGCTTTCGTGACCAATATTAATCATAGTAAAGGATTTTTGGGATAGACCGTGTGAATATAAATGTTTCATTAACCCACCACCACCCGACATGGCCAATTAGTAAGGTTTGTCACGTGAACAAAACGTGCCAAATAGTGACTACTTCAGCAGACTTGGTTTTGTTGTTTGTGTGTAAATCCGCAACGTTTACAATTCGAGTACTGTGACGTTTTCACCAGGTCATCGGGCGATTTGCCAGATCTAACCCAAAAACCTTTACGATGCGTCTGTCACGCATCCCTCGCGTGCAGCCGAGACGCTCGACTTGCAACCGTGCTCCCCGAGGTCCCGCCGCTGGCCCCGCGGCCTCTCAAGCGCTCGCACCCCCTCTGACCTCGGCGTGCAGGTGTCGCGCAAGGCCTACCTGGCGGGCGACGGGTTCATGTCGCTGGCCGTCAAGGAGCCCTTCCCCGTGCTGAGACGAGGCTCACGTTCCGCACCATGCAGCCAAGCGGCCTGCTCTTCTACTACTCCCTGCAAGTACCGGCCCGGCCTGAAGCCGGCCACACCACCCACCCCAGTATCAACGGTCGGTGACTCCTGTCACGTGTGACGCGCGGTGGCGGTGGTTGTGGTGGTAGTGGTGCGGTGGGGAGAGACTCACGGGGCAGCCCTCCAACGTGCAGCTCCTGCTGTGTGTGTGTGTGTGTGAGCAGCCCGGGCACCGGGCCCTTGACGCGGCTCACATCCCCCATCCATGTCTAAGTGAAGCACGTTGCCCTTCTTGATCACTGCAAACAATAATAAAAACAAAGACAAAAGGTCCCCCATACAGCCTTTAACACTCTTACCCAGGCTAATCGAGAGGTGACTGCGGGGAGTGGTACATCGTGGGGAGTGGTGGTGCAACGGTTAGCGCAATGCGCTACGAATCCGGCAACCTGAGTTCGATTGCCACTCACGGCCAACAGCAGTGACGATTATCTGATTTGGTCCTGGGCCTCTCCTAGGTTGACTTGGCCAAAAATGAGTATTTTTTGCAGTGTGTAAACATCGCCACTAGGAAGACAAAGGTGGTCGGGCATGGTGTTGGTAACTCACCCTCTTGTGTGCCGTGCTGACCTTCACAGGTGCTCGCGAACAGCACTCATCCCAACAGTCTGTGTGTGTGGGCAGGGTGAGATTCTGTCCGTCGCCCTCAAGAGGGGGCGGTGGTCCTGAAGACAAAGAGGACACCCTGCGGACCATGAGCGACGGATACAACGAAGGCTCCAACCATTTACCTCTTCGCTCTGTGCAACTCCTCCAGATGCCGCCTCGGTCTCCCCTGTCTTGGCCATAGGAACGTGGAATTTCCGTATTGCCACCGCAGGCTCTGGTTTGTTAGAAGAGACGAGCTCGATGCGTGTGCACCCCCCCTAGCGCGTGCGTGCATGTGTTCGTGTCACTTTGTCGTTCTTTCTTGCGCGTGTGCGTCTTTGCCTGCGTGTGTGTGCATCTGTGTCTCTCTGTGTGTGTCTGTACCTACGCGTATGCACATGTGCTTCTGTGTCTCTGCGTGTGTCTGTGTCTTTGCGTATGCGCATGTGCGTCTGTGTCTCTGCGTGTGTCTGCCTGCACGTATGCTCATATGCGTCTGTGTCTCTGCGTCTGTCTGCCTGCACGTATGTGCATGTGCGTCTGTCTCTGCGTGTGTCTGTGTCTACGCGTATGTGCATGTGCATCTGTGTCTCTGCGTGTGTCTGTGCCTACACGTATGCGCATGTGCGTCTGTGTCTCTGCGTGTGTCTGTGTCTACGCGTATGTGCATGTGCATCTGTGTCTCTGCAGCGCCGCGGGGACACGTGGCTATCACACTCGCGCGTCGTACAAAGTCATCGTCACCATCATCCTCAACATCATCGTCGATAGCATTGTCATTGTCGTCGTCAATATTGTCATCTTCAACACTTAGTCATCAGACATGGGTCCTGGCTATAAAAGTCTGGAATATCCACGACTGTCTTGGATCCATCCACAGAAATGATCCACCTCCTCCATTGTTCACACTTGGGCCAGACTTATGCTGGTAATTTAGTACGGTAATACAATAAACAGAGACAGGTGACTGTGTGACCGGTGGTGACCATGGCTGGTTGTGGTGGTGACTGGTGGTGACCGATGGTGACCGTGTGGCCAGGGTTCATCAGCGCGGCACCTGAGGCCCGTGCAGGATGGTGTGCCGGCGTGGCCCGGCGAGGGTGGCTGTGCGGGGCCGTGGGGGGGACACGCAGGGGGCGTGCGGGGGCAGGGGGGCAACAGTGCCGGTGCCGGAGCCACGCACGACCGCCTCTTGTGGGGGAAACGCATGCGCAGCGCGATCCACCGCAGCTGACGAAGTGTGGAAATGTACGTACGTGTGTTGAACTTCTTTGGCACCGTATGTAGCCAACCGTGCTTGTCCGAGGTGCAGGGAAAAAGACCAACAAACTGTACACAAAAAGCAGTTCTAAAGGAATGAGTTTTAGATCTACGTGGGTGAATGTTTATGTGGGAGTTTGTGTACGTGGGAGAGTGTGTGTGTGTGTGGGCGTATTTGTGAGTGTTTAAGCGGGTCACTTCTGAAAAAGAGCTATATAGCTCAGGACACCTTACCTGGTCAAATAAAAATAGTGTAGTTTTAATGTGTGAGCAACGTTGGCGGTGCCCTCTCTGTGCCTCTCACAGGCACCTCGCTGGAGCTGAAGACCGACGCCAACGGGTTGCTCGCGTACGCGTCCACCGGCGGGGACGACGACAGGCGGCACCTGGACATGCACCTGGAGGCGCAGCCCTTGTCCCAGCAGCTGCTGATGGTGAATGCAGTCCGTTATTTGCAGATGTTACACATTGGAGCTCATTACTTACAACAGTCGAAACATCTCCCTTCTAGCCGTATAGACAGAGAAAGCAGCGTAGTGGGGGAGCCCTGTGGGCCTCGATGCTCATAGTGATCTGTACATCACTTTAGATGTGACATCGTGATGCGCCCCGGTTGTGTTTGCACCCCAGAGGTGGCAACCCCCCAGCGTGACGTTGCCCGCCGGTCCGCCGCTTCGTGTCGCGCAGGTGGAGGTGGTGGTGGGCCCCAAGGCTCACGGGGAGCTGAACGTGGACGGCTCGGCGGCGAAGGCCGCCCCGACACGCCGCAGGGGCCCGGAGTTCGGCCTGCGCTCCCCGCTCTACCTGGGTGGCGTCGCGAGCGGCACGGGCCGGCGACACCTGCAGGTAGAAAGCCGCCCACGTTCGTCGTGCTGTGTCGGGGCGTTTTGCCCGATTCGAGGGTTTTATTCTGAGTTTTGTTGCGATTTGTGCCGTCAGCGTCACTCCGTGAAACGGTGGACTGTCGCGATGGCGCCTCCGGCTGTGCCAGCACCGGACATCCACCTTCCCCCCCCGGGGCTGTGTCAAATGGCGCGGCTCGCCTGAGAGTTCCAAAGCGGAAATCTTATCCGATAACGTTCCCAATACGAGATGGGTTACATTGGTGACCCATCAAACCATAGGATTATTTACAAACCATGCCTGCTCTTCTTGTTGGCCCACCCATACTGGACATCTATGAAAAAGAGCCTCATAACTCATCACATTCCTCCTGCAGTCTAAATAAAGATTCTGCGTCTGATCTACAAGGGTCTGTACCAATCTGCCCCATCCTATCTTGCTGAGCAGTGCACAGCGCCGGCCTCAACAGGACCCCAAATCGACGCCGTCAATGATCCGCATCCCACGGTTACCCTGCTGCTCTGCTGCTACTGCTCCTGCTGCTCTTGCTGCTGCTGCTACTCCTGCTGCTGCTACTCCTGCTGCTCCTGCTGCTGCTCTTGCTGCTGCTGCTACTCCTGCTGCTGCTCCTGCTGCTGCTGCTCTTGCTGCTGCTGCTGCTATTCCTGCTGCTGCTGCTCCTGCTGCTGCTCCTGCTGCTACTCCTGCTGCTACTCCTGCTGCTGCTCTTGCTGCTCCTGCTGCTACTCCTGCTGCTCCTGCTGCTGCTGCAGCTACTCCTGCTGCTCCAGCTACTCCAGCTACTCCAGCTGCTGCTGCTACTCCTGCTGCTCCTGCTCCTGCTGCTGCTACTCCTGCTGCTGCTACTCCTGCTGTTGCTCCTGTTCCCGTTCCCGCCCGCAAGCCTTGTGCGGCGATGCGGCCAGCGCAGTTTCGCCGGGAGTCTCCAAACCTGAGGAACTGGAGGCGGTCACCTGTGGGAGACGTTCCTCATCCATGCTTGAGTCTCAGACCAGTTTTGTTCGACACTTAAAGTGGCGCTGCTACTCCGTGTGAGCGGCGCGCATTTCCGATGGCACGGACTCGTAAGAGCACACGATCGCGAGCGCTCACGCTCGTTGACAGACTTATTGGTGTCTCTCGCAAAGCAGTGTGCCGCCCCCTGCTAGAGAATAGCCCGCGGAAGCGGATAATGCTGAACTAGTTCTGAGATACTTTTGTCCAAAGAATAAGGGGCAGCACTTTTCCACCCGCCCTTCCACGTGAGAATTATATTCACTTCCATAAGGCCACGATGCGGCTGATGAGATCTGTACAAATCCATACATTTATTTTTTACGTTAATCAAATACGTTAAGGAGAACGAATTGTCTGCTTATTTATCTTTGTTATGTTCTCCACAATGGCGCGCAAAGTTATTTTGTGTTATTAACAGTGGAGAGAGAGAGATCACATGTTCAAGGCCGAGTCTATGCCGGTGTTTGGTGTTGTTTGTATGTAGCTCTGTTTTGCGCTCGTAATGCATTTGTTTCCTGTCTTGCATTAGCGCGCTACGTGGCGCTGACGGTAGCCATGCGGGCCGAGAAGGAGGAGCGCCGTTCTATCGGGAGGCGTCGCGCGCCCCGGGTGTGCCGTCACCGCCCCCCCCACCCCAGGGCCGCTGGAGGGCCGGGCTGCGTGCGCGGGGCCCGGCTCAACGGAGCGTCCCTGGGGGAGCCAGCACGCCGCTTCGCCGTGACGCCCTGCACCTCCGCGCCCACGACGCCCGGCGTGTGCTTCTCGCACGAAGGAGGCCACGTGCTGCTGGGTGAGAGAGCCATGCCGGCATTGTCGTCCCCCCCGCTCCCTCGCCCCCAACCGAACATCAAATAATCTGTTTAAACGCACGTTTCTAAATGTGGAGGGAACAACTGTCCTTGCCCCGCAGTCCGATTATCGCGGTTGGCTACGTACGGAGCAAAAGAAGTTCAACCACGCGATGCAGCACAGCGAACCCCACGCAGGTGTCGTCATGCTGTCGCCTCGCCGCGTCACGACATGCAGCAGTGTCGTTATTTTGCTGTTATTGTTGCGGATATATTGTTTTTTTTATGTTTCACTTGTCAAAGTAAATTATGAATCGCTGCTTTGAACCTGGCGTTCCCGAGTTAAATTCATGGCCGTGGCCACCGCGCTACGAACCCGGCATTGTAAGTTGAATTCCTGGCTATGTCAAACGTTAGAGGAGAGCGATATCGGATATCGGAACCGGTCTGGGGCCTCCCCTAGGTTGGCTCGGCCTTAAACGAGCATCCGGTGCGGTGTGTAAAATATCAGCGCTGGGAATGTGTGGCTCTGGCCACACCGCCTCCTTGTGTGCTGTGACAACGTTTATAGACGCTCAATAACAGTGTTCGCCCCAACAGTTGTTGGTATCACTGCACTTTTTTGCCACCCATCGAACGGAGACGGTCAACACATCGCGTGCGTTCAAATGCACTTCTGCGGCCGTCTGGAACGCTCTTCCTTCCGATATTAGGAAGCCAATGGAGCTATGCACTTATAAATTATCTAGATTGACGAACTTATTTCTTTAGAACTTTTTGTGTTTTGGTTTGTTGTCCTTCCCCTGCACCTCCGTTTAGCATGGTTGGCTACGTACGGGTGACAAGTTCAACATACACACACACACTCCCTCTGGCGCTGCAGACGAGGCCATGGCTTCGAAGCTGGATCTGGCGCTGGAGGTTCCGGCCGCACCACCCCTCGGGGCAGCTGCTGCACCTGGGTCGCCCGGGCGCCGCGCGATACCTCGCCCTCTACCTTCACGGTGGCCAGGTGATCGCCCGTGGTGCACGGACTCCAGCAGAGACGCGGCACGGAAACGGCCGCTGTCACATTCCGGCGATTGACACTTGCCCCACCGTCCCGGCCTGTGTGTTGTAGCCCTGTGCCAATCTGCTGTTGGAAGAAGGCCTTCCCATGCCGGGGGTGCCACGGTGGCGAGATGTTAACTTCCTCGCCTGGTATACAGGAGGTTGTGGGTTTCATACCTACCCTGATGCCTGTATATTTGGAGTTTGCATGTTCTCTCTCCCCGTGGTCGCGTAGATTTTTCTCCGGGTCTTCCGGTTTTTCCCTCCACAATTTGAATCGATATGAGTTTAAAGTATTTTAGCTGCTATACATTTCCACGTGATAAGCCACTTCGTTGAGCTATCATTTGGGGCCAGATCGATTCTGGAGCGGTGGGTGTAGCGATTAGCACGCTGCGCTATGAACCCAGTGACCCGAGTTCGATTCCTGTTCATGGCCAAAACCAGTGCCGATCACCGGTCCTGGGCTTGCTCTCCTTGGTCGACTCAGCCTCAAATGAATACATGGTGCGGTGTATAAACATCGACCACTGAGGGAGACAAAGGCGGTCGGGAGTGGTGCTGGCCACGCACCCCCTCGTGTACCGTGCCGGCCTTCATAGGGGCTCGCTAAAGAGCACTCGCCCCTACATGGGGGGGATCTTTGTCTTTTGTGCTTGCGTGTCGCTTGCAGGTGACCGTGCTGGCTAACGATGGCGTGGAGGAGTTCTCCGCCACGGTCTCCCCCACGCGCTCGCTGTGCGACGGCCAGTGGCATCGCATCGCAGGTGAGGCGCAGTCGCCATCCACTGCGACAGCTTCCCCTCTGGTGCCCGGCTCCAGTGTGCACCTTCAAGGCAGTCGATTTCATTGGAATGGAAGCTGGCCCAGGCTGCTTAGAGCAGTAGTGCCATGCCATCCTTTCCAAAATCCCATACCTTGTGTTCATTGTGGAGCAGTTACGCAGTGGTCAGCGCACTGCACTATGAACCTGGCGACCTGAGTTTAATTCCATGCCACGGCCAAATATCCGTGGCGAGTGACATCTGAACCGGTTCCAGGCCACCTCCAACAACCCCTTCCATTTAGAAAACCACACTTGACCAGCGTGGTGAAGTATGGTCAAATAACCCTCATAACTTACACGGTGTGGGAGTGGATTGACAGAGGGCCTGTACATTCTTAATTGCGGTGTGCATTAGTAGCAGCAGTTGAACTCAGGAGAAATTTGTCTCTTCCACAGGAATGTGGAATGTCGGCATTTGAGATCAGCGCCCCCCTCACCCCCCCACCTTGACTTTGTAAGACCGTGTTGACGACACCACGATGAACACGCATTGCAGCTTCGAAATTATCACTCAAAGGAGATTAGACTTGTAAAAATAGCAGCCGTATTTAATGATAATTAACTTTCCGACCCGCCCCTACTGGATATCTTTGAAAAATAGCTTTATAGCTCATCAGATTCCTCCGGTCTTAATAAAGATTCTGATTCCGATAATTTAAAGATATTTATTTTTTAATTCAAGAGTCCATTGCTTTGGGAGATTGGTTTGGGGGTTCCGCCGGTTAATAATGTCTGCGTCAGAGTGATATGGTGAGTTGTACGTATGTATGTTTAACTCCTTTCACACCGTACGTAGCTAACCGTGCTAATCAGAGTTGATGGTCTCAATCTGGTCACGAATGACTGCACAATAACTGCTCATGATGTAACCTTACTATTTTCTCCCGTCCATTTGCCCATGTATGTAAACTAAAGTATGTAATATATCAGACGACTGACGTGGTGAAACACGCATTGCATAGTAAGGACGCACCATCTAGTGTGGGCTAAGGGATTATGGATTGAAGAGACTCCAGGAGTAGTTCTGTAACCTGCCTTGGTCCGGCTGTAGGTAGACTCAGCCTAAAATGAGTACCTGTGGCACTGGGAAAACAAAGGTGGTTGGATGTAATGCGACAGACAGCCTAGTGTGCCACGGTGGCCTTACTGCAAGTTCGCTAACAGCGCTCGTCCCTTCTACATGGTGCAAGAGTAAAAGAGGAGTCTTTGGGGGGCGGTGGTGTAGCGGTGGTGTAGCGGTGGTGTAGCGGTGGTGTAGCGGTGGTGTAGCGGTGGTATAGCGCTTAGCGCTACGCTGCGCTACGAACCCAGCGACCCGAGTTCGATTCCCGCTCACGGCCACCACCGGTGACGATTATCTGAACTGGTATCGGGCCTCCCCTAGGTCGGCTCAGCCTGAAATGAGGGCCTGGTGCAATGTGTAAACATTGCCACGAGGCAGACAAAGGTGACCGGGCGTGGTGCTGGCCACCGACCCCCTCGTGTGCCATGCCGGCCTTCATAGGTGCTCGCCAACAGCACTTGCCCCTACAGTCTGTTAAGGCTATACGGGGGGATCCTTTGTATTTTTGTTTGTTTTGTTTGTAGTGATCAAATAAAGATTCTGCTTCTGATCTACAAGGGTCTGTACCAATCTGCTCCGTCCTATCTTGCTGAGCAGTGCACAGCGCCGGCCTCAACAGGACCCCAAATCGACGCCGTCAATGATCCGCATCCCACGGTTACCCTGCTGCTCTGCTGCTACTGCTCCTGCTGCTGCTGCTCTTGCTGCTGCTGCTACTCTGCTGCTGCTACTCCTGCTGCTCCTGCTGCTGCTCTTGCTGCTGCTGCTACTCCTGCTGCTACTCCTGCTGCTGCTGCTGCTGCTGCTCTTGCTGCTGCTGCTATTCCTGCTGCTGCTCCTGCTGCTGCTCCTGCTGCTGCTGCTACTCCTGCTGCTACTCCTGCTGCTGCTCTTGCTGCTCCTGCTGCTACTCCTGCTGCTCCTGCTGCTGCTGCAGCTACTCCTGCTGCTCCAGCTACTCCAGCTACTCCAGCTGCTGCTGCTACTCCTGCTGCTGCTGCTCCTGCTGCTGCTGCTCCAGCTACTCCAGCTGCTGCTGCTGCTCTTGCTTCTGCTGCTGCTACTCCTGCTGCTCCTGCTCCTGCTGCTGCTCCAGCTACTCCTGCTGCTCCAGCTACTCCTGCTGCTGCTCCTGCCCGCCAGAGATGTGCGGCGATGCGGCCAGCGCAGTTTCACCGGGGGTCTCCAAACCCGAGGAGCTGGAGGCGGTCACCTGTGGGAGACATTCCTCACCCATGCTTTGGTCTCAGCCATTTTTGCTTGACACTTAAAGCGACGTTGCTATTCCAAAGAGCTATCTCTGCGTGAGCGGCGCGCATTCCCGATGGACCGGACTCGTGAGAGCGCGCGATCGCGAGCGTTCACGCTTGTTGACAGACTTATTCGTGTCTCTAACAAAGCAGTGCGTTGCCTCGTGCTAGAGAATAGTTCACAGAAGTGGATAACGCTGGCCTAGTTGTGAGATCATTTAGTCCAAAGAATGAGGGGCAGCACTTTTCCACCCTGAAGACGACCGCTTGTGTTGTGATCGAAACGTTGTAGTTTTTTGTTATTTTTTATTTTCTTTGAACCTATCTACGTGACTTTACCGAAAGGCCCAAGAATATTAATTCCTGCAGTCACGAAAGCTTTAACTCAAGATTTAACCATTAACTTATCTCCTATTTGTTTTAAATGTGGATCTCCCCAGTACTTTAAGCACTCATTTAGACCTCAATGAAAAATGTTTTCCATGGGGTAATTCCCCCGTGACAGCTGCCACTACACAGAGAACAAAGGGTGTTTGCATGGCATGGGAGTGGCACTCTGATAAATACGAGACCAGAGCACCTGGACACTACTACAGTTGTAGCTCATCCAGCAGTCACGATGAAGGCACTGCTCAGCATCGTCCTCGGTCTTCTCTTCCAGGAGCTCGCTTGCTCCACTTATGTAAGCTACGCACGCTGTTGCAGGCCAGGCTCAATGTCTGACTAAATATATACTGGGTCACTGGTCGACTGGAGTAGGCATCTGACAAGTAACCGCAACTATAAACAGGTCCTTGCAGGGTGGGCTGGTAGGAACATTGGAATTTTTTTTACACCCAACAGCACGAGATTTCACTTCGTTAAAGTATTGAAAGGGGATGGACGGACGGACGGACGCATTAATCTATTGCAGGCTGGTACACTCAGTTTACAACTTCGTTCCTACCAGTATAAATATAATAGATATATACTGGAATTGGTGCTGCTGTGTGTTAAAATAGACCTGGTTGATGTTAAGCGCGGGTTTCCTTAAAACTTTCGGGATGAATGATGGCTAATAGCTAATGATGACATTTTTTGCATTCTACGTGTATAATATCCATCAGACATGATCGATCCACTGCTAGATGAAGGATTCCCCAAGCCATCGCTATCTCTCGTGTTCTTGTCGTCTACTAAGCAAATGAATTTGTATAAACTTTGGGAACAATACCTCTTTAAATATTGCGGTGGATATGCAATTGTGATGTTTAAAGTATGCGAGTTTGAGTGTGATGTCCTTTCACGTTGTGGTCTTCTCTTCAAAGCTGGTCCCTGGCGCCTACACTAACGGCTCCCGGGATGCGGAGGGCCAGTGCGTGTGTAACGTCTATCTGCCGGACCCCGTCTTCCCGGCCGACATGGTGGAGCAGCTGCAGCTCAGCACCCAGACGATTGCCACGGCCTTCACGGTGGAGTCACAGAAGGTGACCTCTTCTTATTTCACCAGGAGCTTAAACATTGCCCATTAAGCCAACATGAAATGCAAGGCACTGCACGGAGCGAAAAGCAAGCAAGTAAATAACTCACACAATTCTAAAACCTAATAAGCACGCAGGCTCATGATTAAACCACAGGTGCACATGAAATAGAATGTGGTTTGTAGAGGTAAATGAGGAAAACTAAATTCCTGTGAGTCATAGCCATTGAGGATTTGGCTGTCATGACTAAATTGTCTCTCGGGCTCATCATTGCGTGGGAGTGTTGTATTTCAGCCATTCTAAAGCAATTCATATATTTGTGGGGGCCCTGGGCAGTATTTGATAAAACCCAGGCATTAACCTGAATGTCCTCAAAGATTCCTTGAGGAAGCAACCTTTCTATGTACGTATGTTGAACTTCTTTCGCACCGTACCTTAGCCAATTATGCTGATATAGTCATGCTAAGTTTATATATAGAAATTAGTACAGAACTGCCAACAACACAGTCCCGTACATTTCATATGATTGGTTATTTATTAAGTCAACACTTGTAAAAGATCGATTGAAATGCGTTGGAAGGAGATAATATTCAAACTACGCCTACAGGTGGCAGAGAACCACGCCACGCTGGTGCGCTACACGGCGCTGCTGTAGAACCTGACGGTGCGCGTGGAGCGAATGGAGCAGGGGCATGACCGCTACACAGAGCTGGACTTTAAGCTGATGCGGGTGGAGATCAGGAAGATGAAGCAGCTGGTACAGCAGCTGAAGCTGGATGTCTCCAGCGCCACTCTCGATCGTCTACACCTCTCGGTTAGTCACGATTGTTGCAAAGCCAAACAGTTGTTTCCATCAGGGGTGCAGCAATGGCCACAGTTCCTTTTGGGAAGGTTTGCAGACTCAGGTTTTGCATTTGAAGGTGGCAAGTAAAAGGGGAGTACCTTGGATCACTGGAATGCGGAGGCAGCAGTTCTTGCAGTCGCTGGACTGTGTTGGATGGCTTCTCATAGAGAGCTGAATTGAACTTCACGAGACAATTTGTGAGGGAAATGTTAAAACAACTGCTTCAACATGTTACAGCAACTGCTTCAACATTTTCATAAATTCTGTGAAATCTGTACACGGTATCTGAACATGGAAAACTTGCATGCACAAAATGGTTGTGTTAATGCTCGTGAAAATGTGAAATTGCTTGCATAGGGATGAGGAATTGTTACTATGTAAAACCACAATGATTTATTACATCACTGCTGTACCTGGAGATAATGTTTTAACGTCATTTGTCTTAATTCCTATCGGGGTGTAGAAAGGGTTTCAGGTCTCAATACTCTTTGATATTTATTTACGTGTACCACACAAGCATACTTTCCACAATACACATACTGCCCACCATTAAAGGTCATACACGTGCTTAATTGCAGAGTCTATTGTTGGAATTTCTCAGGGTCGGGGGTTCCTATTTTAATGAACACAAGAGGGGTAGTCAAGTGGCTCACACGTGACATGTTAGTTAATGGAGTTTTCATGTAATTTGACACGGTGTGGGTCCCAGGATCACTGGGCCTGGGGGTCCTGGATGTATGGGGGGAGGAGGTTAAAGGGTTGCAGTTTCCAAGTATTATTAACCATTCACATATTTGAAAAAAAGTGAATATCATGTTTACTGTATGATGTAATAAAATAAACTGGTAGGTTATGAAAACGAAACAAGAATTGAAATAAAAAAATACTTTGTTAGAGCTGCCTGAGGTTATAATTTTAAGCATTGTTTCCTCCAAATGAACGTTTTAATTATTGATTATACAAATGTAATATGTGCCATATTTTTATGAAAAGTAATTTTCTTTCAGAGAAAGAACCGTAATACTATTAATTGTTGTAAATGTTCAGTGCAGCAACTCAAAACAGAACTTGCTATGTAGTGGTCAATTTAGCAGTTTCATGTGAAGGCAGATGCAGGCAGCTCAATTAAAATATATCTGGGCTGGAATTATAGTTCACTACTTCTACTGTCAAATAAGGCACCGCGTGAATATGGCTTGCGTGGATACAATGTTGATGTTATCGCTTTGTGAGGGTTGTTCTCCTGGCACTCCCGTTAGTTCTCAAATGCCAGACAGAGTGCAGAAAACCATCTGTATGGGCGGGGATAGTGAGTGAGTGGGCGTGGTTATGTAAAAGTGGGTGGGCTGATGGAGGGAGGGCCCTACCAGCTCAGCACATTTCCCAGTTGAGTCTCCCAGACATTTGGTAGCCCTGCCCCTACAGTTGACTTGTCACGTGCAATGACAGGAACAACGTGCTGCTCATCCGACGCCAGGTGGACACTGCGCAAGCAGCTGCAGGACTGCCAAGAGAAGGCCTCTAATGCTGGCCAGCCCCCCGGCAGCAATCCTGGCCAGCAGCCCCCCATAGGTGAGCTCCATATATCAGTGGTTCTCTTCAACCTATACGTCCACTGCAGTAGATAGGGGTAGGGTTAAGTGCAATACAAGTGCAACTCAAATACAGCAGAAATACAATAATCTGCGATGCCATAATCCGTAAATCCCTATAATTTGCGGATTGGCTGTTCGCAATCGTTCCTGCAATCCGTGGCACACCGTGGCAGATTGATTCCACTCTGTGGACAGCCAACCACGAACATTAGACGTGGCCATGGTTCTTCAGAGCTGCAGGGGTCGAGCTGTTGGGAAATTCTGAGTTAAGCTCTTTTTTACTTTGTATTTGTTTGTTGCATCTGCACATCTTAGTTGTGCTTAATAGAAAATAATGTTTGCATTTTTTTGACTTGTATAGCAATATTTTAAACTGCTAAATCGCTCAATATCGACCCCAAATGGCAGATTGCACTTCTTGGGAATTAGAAAAATTTGAAACCTCATAATCCTCACATTTACTGCGAGTTACCTTAGCTACTAGTCACGTGTCATGCTTCCTCTGTAATCTGCAGCTTTTTTCCAGATTAGCAGAATCGCGCTGCCGATTCCTGTTGTAATGCGCTGCACACCGCATCAACATTAAACATTTTCGTGTATTAGTTGGTCTATTATTTTGATATGCTCCGCCATATCAATGACAATTAGTGGATCATTGCTCTAATGCCCAAAGTTAGCGAGTAGCCTCTACTTTATAGTAGCTTTAAAACAAAAGCAGTTGGTCTGTGACCGCATCTGCGACATGTTTGCTTTCCTGCTGCACATATTTTATTATCTGCTTGTCTTCCTAAAATCACGAGGGAAGTTCATGGTTGGAGCATTCCTCAATATGCGGAATTGTTTTTTCTCATAACTCTCAGATTTTTGTTGAGATATGCGGTTTTGCTGTTTTTTAGGCCCTGTTTTATTTGGAGATCACTCACTTGGGCTTCCTCTTCAAGCCCTGCCCCTTTGTCTTTACAAAGCGACCACTTCCATTGTGGCCTGCCCCTTCCTCTATTGGCTCCGCTCCCTTCTATTTAGACCCTCCCCTTTTCACTTGAGACCCCAACCCTTCCTACACTCCATTTTCCTTTCGACCCTGCCCCTTGTTGCTTCGAGTCCCATCCTCTACCTACTTTGGCAATGCTCCTTCTCTTTTGAGGACCCACCCTTCTTTAGACCCCTCTCTACGTCTCTTTGTTTCGGTTCCCCTCTTCATCCAGACACAGGGTTGGACTTGTTTGGGTGGTGGTGAGGGTTGTGGAGGGTGTGGGGGAAGTGTGCACAAAGCAGTGGTAGTGGTGGTGGTGACCAGGGACTTGTGGAGCTTGTGGAAGGGGGGTGCACAACAGTGGTAGAGGTGACCGGGGACAGCAGTGGGTATGGGTGGGTGGAAGCAGTAGAGGTGGGGTGGCTTTGTGATGATGACCAAAATCCCTCATAGAGCAGCAGTATATCAATTGTGTGTCTAAAATGTCTTCTTGTTAGTTTAGTGGAGTGTATGTAAGTGGATTACCCTGTATATATTTTAAAGAGTGAAAGTAGTAAGCTCTTATTCTTAGTTTTTTCGGTAAAGTCACGTTGAAGAGAAACAACAAAATAACAAAATATATATAAAACAATAAAAAATTCTCACGACGTTTCGACCATAACTCAAACGGTCATCATCAGGTGTGTCGGTTTGCATAAATGTATTTTTAAAACGGCACATTTATTTATTTATAAAAAAAAACGTTGGCGTCACGCGCAGCGATTGGCAGTTTGCCCAGGACTAGTCCATCTATTTTTTTTTTTAAAAGAGGAGGGGGGAGACGAAATTTTTTTATAATGTATGCTGTCTGAAAGCCACTGTAAGCGTGAACAATCAATCAAGAACTGAAATGATTTATCAAATCTTTCCAATGATTGCTAAGATAGAATCCATCTTCTCGGTTGAAATTGTCTCTGTGCTTGTATATGTGGATAGCCTCATGAACGAATCTCTCATGAATGATATTGTAGTTCTCTCAGCTGACAAAGGCAATGCTACTGTCATCATGGATAAAATAGAATACAACAACAAAATTAAAGAATTACTCGACGATGGTAGTTATACAAAAATTAAAAAGAGATCCCACCAACAGCCTCGTCACACAAACCAACAAAATAATTTCTGATTCAACCGCATTAATTGATCAATCTAAACAGTTTTCGTTGAAACCTTCTGCTGCCAGGCCACCAAGATTATACGGCTTACCAAAAATACATAAAGTTGATACACCTCTTCGTCCCATAGTCTCTACTATCAGCTCCCCCACCTACAAACTAGCTCGTTTTTTGTCTGAAATCCTGCGTCCTTTCACTGGAAAGACCACCTCTGCGGTACAAAATTCTACTCACCTGGTATCAGCAATCAAGGGTATTTCCCTGTCCCCAGACGACCTGCTTGTCAGTTTTGATGTAGTTTCCTTATTCACCAAGGTTCCTGTACCTGACACCATTGCAATCATTGAAGACTTGGTTCATCAAGGACTAAACACTGAGGTACCCCCCCTGGTGAGACACTGTTTAACCAATACATACTTCACTTGGAATGGAACTTTCTACAAACAATCTGAGGGCACCCCAATGGGCTTCCCCCCTTTCTCCAGTTATAGCTAACATTTTCATGGAGAAATTTGAGACTGACGCCATCCAGACTGCCACTCTGCGCCCAACCTTATGGAAGAGGTACGTGGATGACACTTTTGTCATCTGGCCACATGGCCGGCCTGCTCTAGACCAATTCTTCGACCACATCAATTCCATACACCCAGCCATCAGATTTACCATGGAAGTCGAAATAGATGGCAAGATACCTTTTTTGGATGTCCTAATTAAAAAGAGACCTGATGGTTCAATGAGCCACTCTGTCTACAGGAAAGCTACCCATACGGATGCTTATCTGAAACCGGATTCCCACCACCATCCATCACAGAAGAATTCTCTCATCAAGACTCTGTATCATAGAGCCCAATGCATATCCGACCAGGAACACATAAGCAGTGAACTCAAGCACGTACACCAAGCTCTTAGGGCTAATGGTTACTCCGACTATACAATCCGCAAAGCTATCACTCAAACCATGAAGAAGAACCCTCTTGAGGAGCCTTTCAAAACCATCACTTTACCCTACATTGCTGGGATCACAAAAAAGATCTCCAAAATCTTGAATAAACACAATATCCAGGTCCGTTTCAACACATTACATAAAATCCGTGATCTGGTTCCGTCTGTAAAAGATGTGATTCCGGACATACAATACCCTGGTGTCTACAAAATAAGTTGCCTCTGTGGTAGTAGTTACATTGGAGAAACCAAACGCCATGTCTCGGACCGCATTCGTGAACATAAAGCAGACCTTAAACACGGTAGGACCAACAC